AAACATGTGGTGTGCCAATTATTCTTAGACTAAAGGACATGTAATATGAGAGTCTTTCATAAAAATGGGTTCGGATAACGGAAAAGTACCTTTTTATTTTTCGAAGCATGCTCGTCCACACCACTCTAACTTGCGAATCGCTCTCCCATACACTTCTTTTGAGTAAGGCAGCAGCATGGTAGAGGGTGTTACTCGCAAGGTTATTTGATGTGTCCAGGCTGATCAAGTTTGAAAAAAGGGCATCTTCTACTCGTGTTATGGTACATTAAAAATTAGCGTTTCTTGTAATCTGTTCTTGCTCGCTTTCTCTCTTTGCATGACAGGGCGTTCTTCTAGGGCCGCTAATACGGCAGGCCTGCGGCATAGGTTCAAGATCTCAAGAATCGCTGTAGTTTTGATAAGGGGGTTTTTTGAGTTCTAACCACGATTATCATATCCATTCAATAGAGCCTTATGTTGGGTTCAAATCAATTCAATCAGTAGGTTTATGTATGGGGCCATACTACAGAAGACGCTGTAATTTCGTCCGGGGGAAAAGGTGATTTGACATGCCGAGTACGAAAATACGTTGATCGTGTAAGATAAATTATTTTCTGGGTTGCATTAATATAAGGCAGATGATGAGGTGGAATTCCAAATTTGCTCGAAACTTTGTTAGGAGGGTTCTTCAACATGCTGGTCACAATGATAATCTTGATAGCGCCCTCGAAACTCCTTTCTGCAAAGCTGTTGACTATATCATATATAATATATGATGTCATTGAATATAAATGACCGAAGGACTCTTAAATGTGCAAATGTGTAACCGATTTCGTCACCTTCTGACTGACAACTTTCGAGCAATTTGGTCTCTTTTATGAGCTTCCTGGTGTGTGAAGATCCTTATGAGCTTTTGTGTCAAGTCGAAATGGCACGGGTATAGGGCGATTCCGACCGTAATGCTTTCCAACTGGACCACCGCGCGACACTGCGGCGGCGTGTCAAAGCAAAACGGGACAGGAAAGATTTGGGGCATGCGTGACGTGTTAAGTCAAAATCCGTGCGGCGCTGGAGACCGCCCGCGCGAAAGGACCGTCTCCTCACGGAATATAGTTCAGAGTGATGCAGCACATATCACTTCTGTTACGTTTTTTTGTTGTTGATCACCTGTAGTTGTGTTAATCATGCGTTATTCTGCAAAAAGAGTAGCTTTCACGGAGGCACACGTATTAGTACATGCTTTGGCTAACGTGGCTACGCAAAAAACATTAGTGCCCATCGAGCCAATACAAAAAGACAAAAAGACATGTGGCAAACAAGTACAACTGGCGACTACGTGCGATGTGTAGCACTGCAAAAATCCACATCGTCAAAAAAGTATATTCAGGCACGGAATCACAATTGCGACTATCCCTCTGCATGTGAACAAAGCCTGAGCGATTGCTGAATATCTTATCTTTAGTACGAATAGCAAGGCTGGAGTACTTGACGCTTAATTATAAGAAACTTTGGCAAAGCTCTCTCCTCACTAATTTTTGCGTTTTCCGGGCATACAAACTTTCAAGGGTCACAGACACAAAGCATTTCATGACACCTGGAACTATCGCAATAAGTATCCGGGCAAAAACGATTTTGAGATTTTGTGCTTATTCGAGCCTGTTCGCTATGCTGAATCCGATTCGCTCTGGAGAGCGTGAAAAAGGCCAATCTTCCCCCAGTGTGAAATCACGCTCCCAGCTTCCGGGAGCGATCTTCTCGATTCCGCGAGCCGCCCTGACACCAGCCAAGTGCGTGACTTGAAAACCGAGAAGATCACTCGAAAGCTGGGAGCGTAAATTCACACTGGGCGAGACGCCGCCCTCTTGTGTTACCCTTCTGCGTTAGACCCATTTTTCGCCGTTTTTGCGCACTCCAGGGTGGATTTTCGGATTCAGCATAACGAATAGGTCCATACTCATAATATCTCTAAGTCGACTTCTTGCCTGGACACTGGCTTTAAGCCTCTAATGAATCCGTGCAAACCCTCTTGATGAATGTGGTGTCATAGCGCCTTCGTGTCTTTGCTATCTCCAATCACAAGCAACTATGTTCGGCTGTTGCTCTCCCCCTCATAATTTTGGTTGAGATAGTTGCATCGGTACACAGTACTAGGCGCAGGAAAGGGTTTTATTTCTGCTTAAATTTTTCAATACTGTATTAAGACTCAGAGAAGTTGTGCAATAGTAGGCAAGAATACGTTTTCGAGCACTTTCAACCCTGTTTACAGTACGGATAAAAACTCTGGTACAATCTTGTCCATGACGAAGGCTGAGTTCGTCTTCACGAATGCGAACGTGTGGGGATCTTTTATCCTTGGAACTCGTACGCCTCCTCGCTCAAAAGGGCAACCACTTTGTCTGAGACTAGCATTTAACATCACAACAGTTTTAGAACCTCAATCCCAGCTTTTTCAATGTCCCAAATAGCCCAGAATCTGTGAGAATATACTTCATCTCTTCAAATCGTCTTCACTTCCCGGAAATAAAATGGAAAGGTGAGCGATAAAGTATCAGTAGTGTTGTGCTTGATACCAATTTTACCGTTGATAACATTAGATTGTCACATATGTTCTGTCCCTTTTTTTCACGGTTTAAGGTGCAGATGATAGAGCAAAGCAAGCTCCACAACGTGTGGATTCTTATGGATCATGGAGCTTCGTACCAGGCTATCCATTTTGATTTCAAAGCCGAACTTCGAAAGCTCTGGATGTTAGAAAAATCAAGCAAAAATGTTCGCTTAATAATTCTCATAGATCTTTTACTCGCTCATGTATAAACGTTCCACATCAGACATTCACAAATACAGTTGTTGCAATTTTCACCAGCTAGAAATCGGAAAAACAAGAACTTCCATGCTTTTATAATAGCAATGCTCTGCTGTCTCGGCATAAGTAATTTTATATTACATTCAGGTACAACCGTAAATTTTCAGCTTTCTACAAGCTCTAGTTTCCGAGGACATTAATTTGGACGTGAAATGCTCAAGGAAATCAAACTTGTTGAAAATTCACGCTCGTACCTTGAAGTTTTTAGTATACTCACTTATGCTGGACCACATCGTTTTGCTCAAGGCATGGAAATTTCGCTTTCTTGAATCTTAATTTTGGGAGAAATACAGTAACCGCGTTTGTTGGATGTCTGATGCAAGATGTTTAGCGTTAGCGATTGTGATATCTCGGAATTTTTGGAACGGAGATACCTTAATTTTATGCCCGTAGGAACGCGGGGCATTTTTTTTAAATCGAACAGCACAGACACGCCGAAGGACTTTGCTACAAAAAACTATATACAGTGCTGCATATTGGCCGAGAGTATCGTGCGGCATAAGTCTCGTTTTCCGAAACACGGCGAGGAGTCTGATGCCACGTTTGAAAAACCGAAAAATGTGCGTTTTATACGCGTGAAATTAGGGTACAATTTTTTCAGTTGTTTGCACAACCAGGTTGATTGCCTGATTGAAACTAAGAAGTGTATGCCTTATTGCGCTGAATCAAATTCTGACGAAACTTATGGAAGGAAACGACTTAATACCGAAGTGCAAATCTACGAGAAGAAACTTCTTCTAATCGGGGTCGAACGGTAAAAGGATTTCCCAAAGGAATGCAGCCTTCGAGGATCTTGCTACGCCGCTATTTATGAAGCAAAGCTTCGCCTGCGGTATATCCTGACGGCCGTTTGGGTTGCGTCCCTCCCAGTTGCATCCGCAGAGGAGCTAGCGCTACCCAGTGGATTGAGCCATTTTTCATATTCTCCATACACAAAGAGATGGAAATGTGGAAGGTAAACGGCTTTTGAGGATAAATAAAAGTAGAATATGAGGAAGAATTGTCCGCAGATTCAGGGGAATCAAAAGAAGAGGAAATTTATTTGTCTCAAGAAGTCATTGACGGGAAATTGCAGTCCCTTTTCTCTAGCAATTCTCGTTTCCACTTCTCTTGAACATTTTGACTCAAATTTAGCCCTATGAGTAATCACAGAATTCATCCTGGAACTTGATCTGTTTTTTTAAATTTTTGGTTTCTTTATTGTCATCAAGCAGTTTGAACATCTTAGGGCGTTGCAATAGTGAAAAAGGCCCAATCTGACAGGAGCAGCGCTACTTCTGCTTCTGCAGTTGAAGGCGGCACAACGCAAATGTCTCTCAGGATATATCACAGGTGCGTGCGGCTTAGCTTTACTCCATGCCTGCCCCCCGTCTGTTGAACCGTATCATTGCTAAAAATTCAGTTTATCTACGAAAATTGCGTTCAGAATTGTACCATACCCTACTGATCTGTAATTCCGAAAGCATTAGTTTGGTATTTGCTGAGGCCCCCATTTCTGTCCCCATTGCAGAAAAAAGAGGTTAATCAAAGTTTGAATTTGCTGGGTTGTTTTGGAAAATAGAACTTCTCAAAAGTTTTGCTATCAGCTAATGTTTCATGAGCAACAGAGACAAGGTTAACAAGTTCTTTTATTGCAGTGAAAGTTGACTTGACCTTAGCCTTGTTAGAAATCGTTTAACCTCTTCTCATATCGAACGGTTTCGTTTTCAGCAGTTTTCTTCTGGTAAAGTACATGCTACAGATAGAGTTCGTTAGCTTGCTAGTATTCAGAATTCGTTGACTTCAAAGCGGCTTTCACTTGGCAGACATGAAGAAGCTCACATCTTGCACTTTCTGGTTCCGAAATATTATGAGAATGTAAGAAGGCCTAAATTGGCCTCAATGTTTCCTATCTGCGATGCGTTCTAAATATTTTGTATAAATCAAACACGAGGAAAAAACGTTTATTTTCGTAGCTGAGTTGTACGAAAGCCAACAGTTATGATTTCGCTGTGAACATCCAGTTACAACATAAAAAAATCGTATAATACGCTCCCCATGTAGACACGTAGAGTTGTGTGACACAAAAAAAAGTTCAATAGAGAGGTTGAAGAGCATTGGTGATAGCTCACCGCAAAGTTTATATATAGCCATTGTTCCTGTCTTTGCCAGTTGTACAATGCAACAGCTTTTGTGCGCGGCCCTAGTGCTGGTATCAGTTCGAATATTATGTTGCCATTAAGATATTCACGTATCTCTACTTGCCTTTCAAGGGGGCGATTGTGCCTTTCGCTTCTTCCAAAGTGTGCACATTAGATAATGGTGATGGCGTGTCGGAAACTGTACAGAATGACGCGCTCGGTGTAATAAATCAGTATCGTGCGACGTTATCCAGTGGAGGACAGGATAACGGAACCAGTGGAGAGAAGCTACCGACGCCAAAGGAGAAACTAGCTGACGTGGTCAGTGTAATTTCTTTTGTGAGATCTCGATTAACTAAACTTCGTAGATCCAAGCTAAGTGAATCCTTTTCACTCAGACAAATTCTCGAGTCGCCGTGGGCGCTTGCTCAACCAGCAATCGTCCATGCCGCGACTGGTAAGCCGGTCCAGAACCTAACAGACAAACAGCTTCCTTTATGCGCCTAAAGATGACCTTGTTAGCATTTCCTAAGGTCTAGCAAAGCACCTTGATTTTATTCTGTCTTTCATCATGAAACTCGCCCAACTTAAACGGGTTCAAAAGCTCACTTACCTACTTATAGCCAACATCATTTAATCTCGATAAGACTTGTCTGACTGTTCGGTATTGATAAAACAGGAAACCTTGGAGGAGTAATAAAGGATGCCAAGGCGTAGCAGCCCTTTTTAATATGTTTGTACCTCCAAAGAGGCATTGAAGAACATCACACTTGGCTAAATGACGGCTTTACCCGAGCGAGCCCATCCTTCGTGTACAAGGACAGCTCCCCCTTGTTGTTAGCATTGATGAGACCAGACATCGAGATTAATGAAAACTTTCTGAGCTTTTGAACTTCAAATCGAATGACTGCAGTTGGAGTCGAGAATCTTGAACTATTTGTGTTAATATGCCTCCGAACTAAAAAAGACACTTTTTATTTGTAACTGTTCAACATAACGGATTATGTCAGAATTTTAGCTCCAGTTCTCATCTTTCGAAATTTGACTATCACTCAATTATCTCAAACGTTTTGTTGTTTCCTTTTTAGTATGTAAATTTTTGTTACCGTGAGAAATTAGCTTTTTTGTAACTAAACTAGAAAAAAGAAATGTTCCTGTTTGTGGATATGTCTTGATGAGCTCCCAACATACTAGGTTGATGCAAAAGTAAGGAGCGTTTTTTCAATGCATTTTTCAAAACTACTTTTCTCTATCAAAACACTTCTTGATTACAACAAACACAGCGTACATTGAGAAGTTCTTTTCATGCTTTATCTTGAAAGTACTGCTACTGTATGTATACGAAATTGTCTACATGCACATCCAATTATTCTCTTCAAAAATATCTAGACTGAGATGTCGGCGCACATAGATAGGCGTTACGGTCATTCTGGCAGAATTTTTTTTTCAAGAATGCATTCGCCAAAGCTTTGCTCATTTCTGTAAACCTGTGCGTAGGCCATACTTTGATGTTCAGTACACAGAAAATCAGAGTTATCTATAATTCAGACTTAGGGCCTACTGAAACTTTTTTTGAAAAAACTGACAGTTTTAGATTTTATTTTTTTCTGCAAATCTTCTTTGCCCAAACCCTTTTCATTCTCTTTTGTTCCTACTGGCTCCCGGCTACATAACAGGCAACTTGTCATTTATATTAACAAACTCCGAAAGGAATTTTGATTTGTTAAGTACAACTTTTGAAGAAAATTTTTTTGTTTTTCAATCATATTTTTCTGCCTTTTTGTGATGTGTGTTTAGGTGAATGCGCGCTGTATCGCAAAAGGTTTACTGCTTCTGATGGTTTTTGTCGCATTTAAAAATATAAATTTTTCAGAAAGTTATAGCACGTCAAATTGATAATTTGCAAAACAGCCATTATTTTTACATCAACCCAGTACAATTGCAAAGGTAAAGTGGAAAACGAAGACCATTTAGGTTTTGATCATATGTTAGCTCGCCAAACATCTGGAACATTGCAGAATAATCATTCGCCAGTACATACGCTCCATGGCCTACTCTGCTTTCCCCCAATAATTTTTATATCTCTTGACTCTCAGAAAACTCTGGGATAGCTTTCGGTAGAGCGAGCAAGCTCTACAAAGTGGCGCCCGAACTTGCACAGAGTTCGTTCCACATTAGGTTAGAAAAAATCTAGAAACGTTCAGAAACCCGAAAACTCAAGAATAGAACTCAGATCTCTGTTTAGAAACTTACTTAGAGACTGTATTCGTTCACTCACACTCCTTATCATATATGTGCACACTTGCTGTATCTTCTCCAGTGCTAGAGATTGTGAATCAGGCCGATTACGAAAATTTAGCTTTTTTGGTTTTTTTAACGCTAAATTCAAGATTTTCCGAAAATTATTTCGTAAGAAGGTAAAAATTTGTGGTTATACTAAAGGCTGGGTGTACGCGAATTTTTATTGCCAGCTGTACAGTAAATAGTACATATTTAGTGTTTTATGACGTGCTAGAAGTATTTTAAGATTCAGAAGAACTACTGGATAGTTACAGTGGCGTTGAGTGGTATTGCTTTGAATTCAATTCAAAATGATAATGTTGGAAGCCAAAAACTCACGATGCTGTATTCGTAACTATTTTGATCAGATTCTCTGCAAAATCGTTAAACTCAGCAAGTGGTAGCTTCAAATAGCTGGTAAGCTAGTGCAGTTCGTCTGATGCTTTTGAAGACTCGCGTAGCACTAAACTTGAGCTTTGAGCTGGTGACAGCCAAAGAAATCGTGCCTCTTGACCATCTCCCCTAAAGGCTTATGCTAAAGAATTACCTAATGGTAAGTGGAAGCAGCTCAACATCGCTCTGAAAAATGCCAAACCGTTTTCACAATTTGTAGTCATTTGAAACCTACAATAAGTGTATATATAAGTGTTAGATGACGGGTGTATGTGCGTGAACAAGTTAGAGCTTCGTGGGATTTTTCTAAGCAGATCAATCTTCGAGTTTTCGAGTTTTTGGAGGTTTCTGGATTTTAATCTCTAATTTCGTGTGGAACGAGTTTTCGTAAATGTTCAGGCACCACTTTGTAGATCTTCTTTGTGCTCTCGAATGGTACCTCAGAGCTTTTTCGATGTTCAAGAAATACGAGAGTATTGGGATAAAGCGTGAAAACGGATGGAACTTACGAGACAACCTGATGCGTAAACAATTATTTCTTCTTTTTCAGTAAAATCGCAAAAACAAATTTGATGAGATAACGAAAGATTACAAGCTTTTCAAAAATGAAAGGACGGAACTTTCGCTTCAACCTCATTGTTGACTCGGTCCAAAAGTTTGTGCTGTTTTTCAGACATATCCTCAAGTCACTCCTAATAATGACAGACAAACGCCTTAAACAGTATCCGATGCAGGATATCCTCCGCTTTCTAGCAGTAATGTTCTTGTTTCGTTTCCCCTAATGATTGTTGAAGTAAGCATCGAAATCTCGAACCCATAGTTTTGAGTTCCCAATTTCAGCTTTTTCTAGAACATTTGTTTTTTTTGGAAGCACTTTGATAACAGCTGCATAGATACAAAACGCAATACGATGAACTTTTTAGGCTTCTTCAACTGGCTCTCCAGTATTTGAAAAAAATTTTTCCGAAAGTTCGATTTTGCGAAGTTGTGGAATACACAAACGCTATAACTAGTATCGGTCGTTCTTTGCATTGAGTCTTAGAGGACATTGCGTTTGCCCCGCTCTACTCTTGAAGCACTCTTGAGGACTTACGTTCGATTAGCACTTTTGACTTAATTACACAGTTTACAGAGCAAACATTTTGAGAAATTCAGACCTGGCAGTGTGATCTGGAAAACGAAGCAACAACAGCAATAGTTGATTGTACGGCAGAAGAACCCAGTAAACCAACTGATAAAACTGCTTTCTTCTTTAAAACGTATGTTTCTTCAGTGTTATCCAAAAGTATCAGAAAGCAATATCTCTTCTGTGAGGAGCAGCCTATTTGTTACAGCGCACCAATACACTTACGCGTATGTTGGCATAACAGATTTCATCAAAAACATGATTTTTATGTGACGATGCCTTATCACGTTTAGTCGTACACATAGACACCACTCATTTTTCACCCTTTCCTCAGAAAGAGATGCCGCTCAAAGTTATTCAATAAATCTAAATTTGTTGTATAGCGTATGGCAAATTGTGATAATAATCTACCATTTGAGCCATTACTGGAGTGCGACTGCAAATTGCCTCTGAAGCGACTTCGCTCTGGAACTTCAGCGGTGGCTTTCGACTCACTATTCATGAAGGCGATGGGGAGGGAGGGGGACAACATACGACAGACATACACAGAGCGCATCTTACCTCGAGATTTTGCGTTATGCTTACTTACATCGGCTGTTGACAGTCTCATCATGGCCTTCATGCTTGACGGGTAAGACTCAAAATAAGTAGAGAGGCCGCTGAGTCTAATAAGTAAAGCTACCTAACTTAGCTCGGCCTTTTGGTAAAAGCATATATATTCTGAATCAGCTTCAAACGCTGATTCCAAATATGCTATTCCTAACTGCCACGCACCATTCCAAAGCGAGTTATGGACTTTTTCCTACGCAAAATTGGAAATACTGCTGAACATGAGAAGACTGCCTGTAGATGAAAATCTGCAAGGAAAAGGTGCTGCGGTATTGAAATAGTACAACCAATCTTTTCTTACTAAAAAAGCTTGATGCAGGTGTATCACCACTTAAATTGATGACGTTATGCCCGTAAGTCGATGAGCATGCCAATCTTGCGTAGGAAAAAGCGCATATCTCCCTTCGGAATGGTGCATGGCAGCTAGGAATAAGATATTTGGAATCAGCGTTTGAAGCTGATCTAGACTATATACATAGGGCCCTTGCCAAAAGGCCGAGCTAGGTTAGGTAGCTTCCCTTGTAAGTATCGGAACAACAATGATGTAATTTTGAGCCTGTATCGCCTCTACCCCCTAGGCAGGAGAAATGATAAGTAGTAAGCCACTTCCAAGGATATCAGTAGGCTTATCGACTTTCTTTTCTCAGATGTATTGCGTAGTCGCGTTTGGGCAATGGCTCAGTTTGGAGCATTCAATTATCTTTTGGATGACATGTGTTCTTTGCCTACAAGCGAAAAAGCAATCTGCATATTCAGTACGGAGGACTATCCAAATATCATACTTCCCTTCACCACCTGGCTATCATGTAGTGGCACAGCAGGCTTTGAAGAGAGCGCTGTCGATAATGGAGTGATGACATATGTACCCATAGGGAATACTTTGCGCGAATACGCAAACGTAAGTGGTCTCTGGATTGAAAGTTCAGGTTCGTCTCCTTAATATGGCTGTCACAGCTTATGCGAAGTGATTTAACCGAGATTGGTTGTGTTGAGAAGCACTGTGACGATCAGACAACGTATATCGTATATTGTCTTACAGCGGTAACGTGAGTCTGTTATTGCATCGTCTTTACTATTGTGCTAATGCGGTAAATTTCTAGGCTACTTTAGATGTGAGGTTATAATTAGACATTTTTCGGAAGCGAGAACAATTTTGAAATCATATATTATTTATTTATTTCTACGCAACGGTCTACAATGCGAAAACCGTGATGATTTGGGATAAGGTTTCGTTAGTTGTGGACGTAGATGTACTTCAAGAAATCGCTCCACTGGCGAAGGTCCATAACTTCGCAATTTTGAAATCAGCTATACATGCAAAAGCATCCTACGATTCAATGTAGGAACACCTACTTGAAAGATCTATGAAAAAGTGTTTGCAGTAGACTGAGTGCAGAAAAAAGTGAGATGTGGGAGAAACACTGGTAGCTTCTTCCTAGACTGGTTTTGTTCTTCTGAGCTAGTGAGATATAGATTGAAGTAGGATTAAAAATGCAAGAAACTTCTCAAGAGACACTCTGTATGCCGAAAAACGTAAACGTAGTTTCTGGAGATGATGCTAAGTGTAGAAGAAGTATACCGTCAGAAGCGCATTCAAGCGCTTATATTCTTTCTAGACCAAATTATGAGTAGACCGTGAGCTTATTGCTATTACAGTCGAGTCATTTAGTACGATTCAATGTGTTACTACATATTGCGCATTTTGCCGTTCTTGTGGATCTGTGGTCGCAGAAACGTAAAAGACTGAGGTTTACCGTTTTTGGAGATTCAAGCGCTTATAACTTTACAAAAAAACTTTGCGCCGATATGAAAAGCGATCGAGGTAGATGTTCGTAGGTGCCTTCACTAATATGAACTCTTTACATTTTGCGAGTGCGACTTGGCATCTTAGTTCCTACCCGTACCAGAATGCGAAATGTGCGCGTAATGCTCATGGTGACTGATAGGGCACTAGGCAACTAATCCGACATTTGTATTTCAAACACACGCTTCGCTGCAAATTCCAGTGGCAAAAACGGAGGTGGGCTCGGTGCATGACTCCACACCATATATAGCGCAGGATTTCGAGTTAAAGGCACCGTCCACCCAAAATGGAGGTTGGCGAGATGATGTGAACCCCTACACTAGTGTGAGCCCCTACACTGCAAACCTCCAAGCTTCGCCGCAAAAGACTGCTTCTGGAGCGAGAAATCCGCTCCGATAGCAAAGTAAGCGGGGCGACCATGGTCGCCGGAGGTTGTTTGAAGTTTGGAAAATGGGCGGATGAGGGGGCCTGCCCGCCGGGAGGGCGAAGTCCCGGTTAAAAGCAGCGTTTCCAGGCAAATCTGGACCTATGGGGACTTTACGTGGAAAGTAATTTTGGGGCTCTAACTAGGGCACTGCCCAAGCGGTAGCGCAGGTGACTCACTGACGGCTGAAATAAACGCTTCTAAACTGGACCCCAGGATAGTATTTCGCATGGATTTATGGCTCATCCCATCAGTTTCGCGTGGGTTTCACTGAAAAATGTAAAAATTTTAGGAGTTATAGCACGTTAAAGTGAGAAGCTCGCAAAATGCGCATTACTTTTGCAAAAACCCAATAATAGTAAACTTGCGGGCATACCCAGTTTCGCCCGGCGCTGTCGGTGCAGTGTGTTGGAGATCTCCGTCCCTTGTATCTGTCATCTCCCTGCCCCTGTACCACTTCTGATAGGGCGTTTCATAATTTTTCACCGTTTTTATCCTCTCCCGCAATCATATCCTTCTTTTTTCAAGCACTGCGGCATCATGACAGAGCAAAACAAGCTCTACAAGATATCCCAAACACTTTGTTGAGGTTTGTTCTACAAAAACTTGAAGCAAAAATCCAAAAGGGTCTTATTGTTAAATGTCCATAACGTCGAAAAAATCGCATCTCAATTTGAAAATTTCCTACGGACTTGCTTGCTGCTTGCTCAGATATGTGCTATCCAAGTCTGACCTTTTTATACACATTTGTTTAGTTCTCCATGGCTAGAAATAGAGATTAAAGAATTCTCATGTTTTGTTAGAGCTAGAAGTGTAGCTCCCACATAGTTATACAGTATGAGTTTTCTGAAGAAACCATGAGCCCTTGATCTTTTACAGGCATTAGTTTTTCCCAAAAATATCAAATCAAGCGCGAGAAACCTCGCAGACGGCTTTTCGTTTTTGGCCTATCTTAGCATATTTATGTTCCTCCAGTTCTAGTCATGGACTATAAGCGAGTTTATAAATACCACATATAGAGAGTATATGCATTAGCAAATAAGAAGCGCGTAGGATATGTCTGTGAAGTGATAAGATTTCTTCTCGACCTTATTACGTCGATGTTTTTAACTTCGACTTCCAACATTATGTGAAACAGGCTTGAAGAATATTAAGATGCGATCATGCAGAGCTTGCTTTGATCTGTCAAGTAGTGCAGAGCCTATTTCAGAAATAAGAACCGTATGAGGTATTGCGGGAGAAGGTAAAACGGCAAACCCTACTATATGCCGGTTCCCTATCAAAGATAATGTCCTGGCAGATTCGCGCCTTGTGGGATATAGCTGTAGTGGATTCGTGGTCATTCATGAACCTCCAGGGCCAGTCCGGTGGTCATTGTTACCTCTGCGCCGAGAAAATAATCCTTAAACCTGCGTATATGAGCCAGGAGCAGGGCTTGGCACCAGCTGGCACGGAGCAAGTGGATATCGTTTTTGGGACAAAAAGCAAAAGGAATATCGTTTTTGTCGACAAATTGCGACGTTTTTCTAGTCGACGTTTCGTTTTTTGGGTTCTTTTAGGTTTAGGGTTTAGGGAGAGGGACTTCTTAAAACTTAGTGTAAATCAAGCGGAACTCCGTTTTGAAAATTCCCTGGTGCCAGCTCGTGCCAAGCCCTGGCCAGGAGTCACGTTTTTTTGCGAGCAGTACAGGACTCGGCTCCGTCAGTATTGCTGTCGCAATGTTACTTATAGCATTGAGTCATGTGTCTGCCGCCACCTCCCACTCACTTACTGTGGCGCCGTCCCACTTTAGCACCGGAGAGTTTTTGTTATGGACAAAATTTCAGCCGGTGAGCGGCCGCCGCGGGGTGCGGGAACTTACCTACAAGAAAGGCTTGCTGCAGCATACCTTGGGTATCATGAGCAGTCAGATACGCAATTGGCATAGTTTACAGAGCCTAGTCTGTGTATTCTAAGCCCCGCCCCCATCCATCAACTCTTTCGAGATGCATCCATCAATCATGAAACCGGGAATTCAATAGAATCTAAAATTTGTGTTCAGCAACTATCTGCTCTATTTCGATTAATAAAGTGCGGTTCATAATTATACGAACACCCAAAATTTTGTAAGTTTTCGGGCTTTTTGGGAAAAACTCAAAAAGCCGTTGATACCACGCGATAGAACACAGCCGAAAACGGTACATGATCCATGAGAATGCAAACTGATGTCAATCTTAGGAGTGTTTTTGCGCCTAACGCGAATTTTTAGCGGTTCATAATTATACGAACACCTCAAACAAAGGTCCATTTTTCATTCAAAATTGCAATCATTTGAGTCCAAATTTTTTGTAGAGTTCCAGTAACAAAGTCTGTCATATCTGCTAGACACTGAACCCAGTGCAGTTCAAAAAGAGGACCGTTACTTTTTTCAGAATGCTCTAAATGCTTTTGAAGTGATTGCGCTCCAGAAATATCCGTTTTTCTGTGAATTACGCGCTCTAATTAGCTTCTACTAAAGCTAAGAGATAGAATTAGCTCTTTCGATAGATATTTTGTTTGACGCTTGGAAAATCTATGCGTTTTCGTGCCGTTTTTCAGCCAAGTTCCAACCTTACCCTAGAGTTAGCACGATTTCCAGCCTCAAAATTCAGCTTCTCTCTCGCGCAAACATTTGATATGAAGCAGCTGCATTCCTTGCATGATGATGTATCCGTGCCAACGTTTTTGCGTTGTTTGTAGGACTGATCTTGATGCTATGGAACAAAAAACCAAATAAAGTTGTAATTGCAATAGTAAAAACAGTGGTTCTGGTGAAATGACGTCTGCGTGGCCAAAACAAACGCTCAACGCTGCTGATTTTTTTCTAGCCAAATACATAGTCTTGTGAACTTCTACATGCCATCTGCTAACTTCATTGTAGGGCTCCGGAAGCTGAGTGTTGAGGCTCGAAATCGTGCTAACTCTAAAGTAAGGTTGCAACTTGGTTGAAAAACGGCTCGAAAACGCAAAGATTTTCCAAGCGTCAAAAAAAAATACTTATCGTAAGAGCTTATTCTATCTCATAGCTTTAGTGGAGCTAATTAGAGCGCGTAAACCACAGAAAAACGGATATTTTTGGAGCGAAATTACTTCAAAAGCATTTAGAGCCTTCTGAAAAAAGTAACGGTCCTCTTTTTGAACTGCACTGGGTTCAGTGTCTAGCAGATATGTCAGACTTTGTTACTGGAACGCTCCAAAATTTTCGACTCAAATGATTGCAATTTTGAGTGAAAAATGGACCTTTGTTTGAGGTGTTCGTATAATTATGAACCGCTAAAAATTCGCATTAGGCGCAAAAACACTCCTACAATTGACATGGATTTCCATTTTTATGGATCATATATCGTTTTCGGCTGTGTTCTATCGCGTGGTACCAACGGCTTTTTGAGATTCTCGCAAAAAGTCCAAAAACTTACAAAAGTTTGGGTCGTATAATTATGAACCGCACCTTATAAGCATTTTGAGGTTTTCTAAGGCGCTCTTTCAAAATATGCTATTGGTTTTGCGCTGTCTTTTCTTATAGGAGCCGAAATTTTGCTTTGCTGAATTTACTTTTAGCAAATCTCCACAAAAAAAAAATAAAGCACGCCTTAGGACGCATGTAAAACTGCTTCACTGCTTCTCTCGGAACGTTAGAAGGATGAACCATTTTTCCAGTGAGAACAGCATGCCCTGAAAATGTAACCTCAATGATAATGATTTCATTCTTTTAAGTTTATGGATTTTTTTGCATAACATTAAGAATTTCTAATTTGGACTTTCACATTCAGATTTATCTTATCCTCCTGATTACAACCATCTTTCTTCCTTCCCATTAGCTCCATTTTGAGCCTCGCAACCCTCTTTCAGCACATGCAGGCGCTGAGCCAGCCTCGATGTCTCCAGGTATTGCCAGGTTTTCTGGCATGTCTTGGTTCTATGCCAAAAAGGCGCAATATGTGAGCGGGGCTTAGCTTAGCGCTGTATCCTAAGGATAATCTGGAAGCAGCGAGCTGCTATGCCTAATTGTACCCCGCAGACACACAGCGAGAATATCTAGGTAGGTAAGTTCCGTTCCCCGCCGCCGCGGTGTGACTCCTGACCCGGAGCCTACCGAACCGGCGCGCCAACCCCATTCGGCGCGTGCTCACTTAAGCTTCACTTACATGGGCGACCCCTCGACCGCTTCCGTGTTCTGCATGCTATCCAAAGCAAAAATCACAGGCGGCAGGCTTCTCGCCAGGGCCTCCCAACTTTCAGTTGAAACTCCCGTCCAAGCTTTTAAAAGTTGGGTAAACGCCCCCCAAAAACGGTTTTTTCACCTGTTTTGAAGCTTAATTTTGAGTTCTACATGTCGAAAAGGCCTAAAACATGATACAAAATTTGTCATAGCACTATCTTTAAATCCGTTGGTAATCCGCGTGCTAATGCGTTCCACTCTCTGTACCAATTCCTAACGGCCCAGCGTATAGTTTGTGAAAAATCGATAGGGTTAATAAAGGTAATCGGTGATTCTGAAAATATGTATTCATAATCAGCATGGTCACTTATTTCTTGTCCCAAGCTGCTAAAAATCTGACACTTGCGATAAAAATCCTGGCAAGTATTATAGTAAGCCTTTTGATCTACAATTTCCAATAACGCAGTTTCGTGTTGCAAGAGAAACTCTGTGAAGAGTAATGATTTTTGGGTGAGCAATATAAAACAACAAATTTGATTTTTTGGCCTTTTTTTGAAAATCATAACTCTTCACCGAAGTTCATTTGACACAAACTCTGCACTGTTGGAAACTATGGATTAGAAGATTACTACACTACTTGCTCATTTTTATCGCAATTGATTTCTAGCAACCTAACTCAAAATGAGCGAAGTTGAAGTAATTTTATTCTCTTTCCGTCTCAAAAGCTACTCCTTAACAAAAAGCAGGGAAGCCACTCAAAGGTAATGGTTTCCTCTAACCAGCAAAAATGAGTGTATCCAAATCCTTGAGAGAGCAAGAAGTTGAGATTTTTCAAAAATGATGCAGCAGAACTGCATTAACCTAATTAATGGAATAGGGTAAAAAAGTGCAATACAACGAATTTTTTGGGAGACTAGCTTCTTAGTATCTTTCACTGTATTTTCCAAAAACTTCTTCACTTGTGCAAAGTCATTTGATACACAATGAAAAATCTTCAGAATTTATATTGAAACTCGATTATCATTCAACACTAATTTTGCAAGGCAAAGCGAATGCGCATTCACTGCTTCGAAATACAAAGCTTTGAAATATCGGGTACAGCTGTAGGCGCATCCAACAACTCAAAGTATGATTCCTTCCGAGAAGGTTCCATAAATCGGGAACAACAATGCCTGTCGGAAAGAGGAGAAAAAGCTACATCGAACAATACTTGAGTTGCTTGTCAGGTGATGTTCTTTGAGATTTGATTTAATTAATTATGGAATTTGCTAAAACCACTCAAATTTTTTGGTCATTCTCAAGAGGTGTCTGGAGATGCTTAAGAAATCTAAATTTTGCACTTGGTTTGTTCTATCTAGCGGTTTCAGAACTCTTCCAAACGTTGGAAATAAAAAATTGCCAAACTTGAGCATTGTAAAATCATGATTTCAACTTTTTTGCGTCTTAAAACCGCGAAAGCAATTAGTCTCAACATTACGGCTGCAAAGAAGAAGAAGACTGCAAACGGCTTCACAAGTGTTTGACCATCTTTATTCTACGTGTTTCTATGATAGATAAAAACAGAAAGAACTTCGAAACGACCTAATATAGATCAAACATCAGAATGACAGAACAACAAAACATTACTGAACTTGTTGCACATAATATTGGACTTATATCCACGTCGGTTACAGTGTCTCTTATAAATTAAACGAAACATAATAAACAATGAATGCATAGCAGTAGTACGAACTCTTTGTACTGAAATAATGCTCGGCAACTTTCTAACATCATCTGATGGTAATCTTAGTGCCAATATGTCAATTGTTTTCCGATCAGCAGTCAATGATTAATTGTCTAACAGAGAGACATTGCTGGTTGTGCATCGTTTATCAGAGAAGAAACCCTAAAAATTGCGAAAAAATCGGGGTGTACCATCACTTTTGATTTACCCTAATCATTCACTTCGCACTCTGATAGGTGTAAGAATTGATCTTCGTAAAATCAAGCTCATCCAAAAATTGTGTCATGCTCTGATGATTATCTTATTACAAGCACAAGTAATGTCATCTTATCACATGCACAAATTTGCTCAACGCACCTGTGCTTCTGGTAAACGTCAGAAAATAGCACTTGCTTTGAAGCACCTATTCCATCAAATTGAAGAAGAAATGGTGCGTCTCATGCAGAGATCGTTTCATTGGAATGCTTACCATCGCATGCGGTCGTGATAACTCCTGTACTTTAAACGTGCTGGCATTCAGTGTTGCAAAAAATTCAAGATAGAGGTGTAAATTTGATTTCAGAATTTCAAAGTAGATATGCTCTTTCAGATTTTACAATCAGTGAATTTCTAGAATTTTACACGCATTTCAACAGAGATAGGACTTAGCAACAATGACCGCCCCTAAAAATAAACACTCGAAGAAGGTTGTTTCACAATTCTCCTTACCTACCTTTCAGGGAGTTGCAACAATCAGATAAGATTTACGAGATCCTTCAAACGACGACGGGCGGAACAACAACAACAACAACAGCGCCAGCTACGACTACATCTGCATCCGCAACGACTACAGCAGCAGAAGAAGCTACTACAACAGCTTCAGAGTCTGCTGCCTCGACGACGACTACGGCGGCGGGGACAACTGCCGGGGAAACCACAACAACAGCAACGAAGGGGACCGGGACCACTTCTTGTATCCCAAGACGCAAAGCTACAACTGCAGTCGGACCCGGACCAGGACCGCAACCACAGGCTGCGTTCCCTTCACCTTCAGCGGGTAAGTCCAGGCTTTTTCATTCAAAAAAAAAACTGTTGACAAGAACTTCTATCACATCGACGTTGACTTTGATGGGGCAAGTGTTGATTCAACAGGGAAGAATTTGAAGTCATCGGGTCAAACTCGCTTGGAAGGTCGATCATCTGTATCTGTTATCTGCAAGCAAATTTTCAGAGAAAGTTTAACATTCCTCCTAATAAAACTTGCGTGGTACCATCGAGTCAATACCACCATGCTGGCCAAGTTGCCGCAATGCTACGGAGCAACATCATTGTCGATTTCAGCCTAAATCAGTTCGAACTTGACAGACAAAAAGCAAGACAATCTTGCATTGCCCACTCTGGCCCTCTGCGACAGTGCAACTCATCAAAAACGTCTATAACTTTCACCACAAAATAGCTTTGCAAATAGCGAACATGGACTTTAGATCAGATTCCTAAGTGAGTTGTATGTATGGACAAGATAGGTGCAATACCACTGATAGAGCAATGCAAGCTCTGCAAATTGGCATGTGTACAATCGCAAAAAGCTCAATTTACGCAGAGTTCGCAAGAAGAACGAAAATTTCAACATCAAAAAATCGCATGTCTTGTACCAGAAACTCGTACGAGCTTCTAGTTTGCTTTAAAAATATACTCATCGTGTCAGCTTGTCTATATATATTAGTCCCGTATTTTTGAGGCAGTTCAGAAAAATAGAAATTGGATGTTCTAACGAGAGCGCTGCTTGACTGTGCCCATGTAAGTAAATCTATAGCAAATTTTTGGAAGTGCATCAATAAATTTCCAGCATTTAAGGGCTAGTTTCCGAGAAATATTGGATTTTAGAAACGGGGGCCTTTTCGTTTTTTGGCTTTTTGTCAATATCCAGCAATAAAATAAACACACTATGAAACCGTACATGCGAAGCTACATATGAACTGTACATATGAAAGTTCCATGAGATGAGGACAGTAGATGCGTGGCCAAGTTGGAGGCTCAAAGGATCCTTTTGGATGGAGATCTGATTTCAGGATGCTGAGATTTTAGTTCGAGGTTTTCCTATCTAATTTAACCTAGACTAAACTTTTTGCGATTGTTCAAGTGCTAACTTTTAGAGTTTGCTTGGCTCTATCGAATGATATGTTACATATTTATAACTCTTCTGCAGGGCAGGATAAAGGCGGCTTAATTCTGCCCAACCTTGCATATATCTTATGGAACGGCCACGGTGACTCGTTCCATCCCTTTTTAGTTGTTAGGGAAATGAGTGACATTCCGAATTTCTGTGTTTGGTATGTTCTCATTGATTAGACTACTTAGCTCAAATCAATATTTGCTGAATCGTACTCATGGTTTCTTAGGCTATAAAACTATAAAACTGGAAATGAGGTGGGGCTCAACAGAAGCCAAACAAGGGAAAGAAGGTTAGTCGAAGTGGCCTTTCTGTATAAGATGTGCACTGACTTGAAGAATGCGATACGCTATTCCAGATACGCCTTTCTTATCTGCTGCGGATTTCTGAGCAAGGAGTTTTGAAGGTTTTTATAAGGAAAAAATACATGATCAGTGTAGAATCAGTCGTTGACTTTTCCTATCCTTTTGAGGTGACATACTGTGGATATTCTAGATTGAAAACATTTATTTCACAGAGTTACCGGCAATTAATTTGAGCCGTAAAAAAATATTACGACTTATTTTATCTTAGCTGCACATGCAAATTTTGCTCATAGAAACATTCGTAACTCGTCGCCCAGGAACCTGCAGCAGATAAGGAAGGTAGATTTCGAATGAGCGTTTCATAACTTTTAGGCAGTGTCCATCTGTTATCAAAAAGCCACTTCGACTAACATTTCCGTCCTTGTGAGAGCCGACAAAACTCATCCACGACGGAGGCGAACCTACTCAAATTCATTCAGCCCTCATATCTCCAGTAACACAATCTATTCGCACCTCCAGAATCCCTGTAACTTCAGTAGCACTTCACCACTCTCATCTCAGAAATTGCTAGTCTTGCATTGTTACATTTTCTTTTTTGCGGAAATGCGACGAACGATGGATCCGACACAATTGCCACGGCTTAGATCCAACAATGTTGGATCGAAAGCAAGCAGCGATGCAAGCCTTGCGCTACATCGCGCGGTACCAAAGAGGGAGTAATCCAATGAAGCAGTACTTTATGGATCACTTCATCAGCTTTAACATGAGCAACTCATGTGTGCAGATTTGTTTGGACACTTTGAAACTATTATACTCATCATCAACTTCCCAACTCTAACTCTTCTGTATGAAAGTTTGTACCAAACCGAAAACATGACTTAGCATTGTGTCAGTAACCCTCATTACGCAAGGATTAGCAGGAAGTGGATCAATAATATATTAGCTTGCCTAGATTCTTACTGTGACTCTATCTCTCACTTTTTCGAGCTTTCATGCCTTGAAGACTTCTGCTGGAGTGTTAACAGGGGTCTTACTGGCTTAGCCAAAAATGATTATGCCGTTATCCAAAAATCAGCAATTGCCTTTCCTCTCATTCTGTTATAATGTTGAATACAGCGCCGTCAGCCAGAATTATTAATTCACTTTGGCAACATCTATATCTATGCGGTATTTTGCCTTTTCTCTTAGGGACTTGTGTGACGTTTCGCTGTTTTGTGTATATGCCAGCAACCAACATTCTCTCTCTTTTCCTACAAGTAGAATCAATTGCATCGAGCCTTCAGTGCGAGCTTTGTCAATTTTTTCCTTTTCCCCATTCCAATCAACGAAAAAGAAAGCATTCTTGGATAGATGGTACGTGACATGGGCAGTAAACAGCAAAAAGTCATTTAGCTATATTGACAAAAAGGCAGAGCACGGTGATTTCTGTGGTGATTGATAATAATGTTCAACAATAGAGTTAAAGGCAGCGTCCAGGCATGGACCTATGGGGCTTTTACGTGGAAAGTACTTTTGGGGCCCTAACTAAGGCACTGCCCAAGCGGCAGCTCAGGTAGTGCTGTAATGGCTGAGATATTCCCCTCGAAACTGGACCCGCGATCGTATTTCGCATGGATTCATGGCGCAAAGCGTGGATCCTGGCGCGAAACTGCCATGAATCCTTGCGAATACGATCGCGGGGTCCAGTTTCGAGGGGCATATCTCAGTCATTAGAGCACTACCTGAGCTGCCGCTTGGGCAGTGCCTTAGTTAGGGCCCCAAAAGTACTTTCCACGTAAAAGCCCCATAGGTCCAGATCTGCCTGGACGCTGCCTTTAACGCAGTGCCCCACTTGCGATAACAATCGCGCGAGAGCAAGCTGGCAGATGCTGGCAAATGATAGTGCGACAGGAGCACTATATCTGCCTTAACGCTACACTACTTGTAAAACTAAACCACCTGTTGGCTAAAGATCATGGAGGCTCTGGGAATTCAATGAAAATTCCTTGTGTTAGCTCATTTCTACAAAAATTTGCAGGTTTTCAGTGGCTGCGAGGCTCTTGTAGCATTTCATGGAACACTATGTAGACATCGTTGAGAATCTTTTTGTTGTGTACATTCTTCATCAAGAATTAACAACCAGCCTCGCTGGGTAGTATTGAGAATAGTTGGTTGGATATCATAAAAGGAACCAGAAACGAAATAAAAGTTCTAATGATAATGTTAAATTTTTGGCAAGCAAAAATGAAAATCTGACTTTGTCATTCTAGTTGCTCCAATGATGTAATTTTAGGAGCGAACGATAGATGCCCACAAAATACCAGAATGTACGATGAGCTTAGATTCAAGTTCTTGGATATGCACAATTATCGGAGGTGGAAATATTATCGTTTTTGTATTAGGTTGGTGCAAAAGTGATGGGAATTTTCTTAGGTTTTGTTTCCAGACAACTTTTCTCATCAAACTTTCTTCTTTGGATAAGACTTAGCACATTCTTGAGAAGCTTTTTTCATGCTCTATCTAACGATGGTCAAAATGTTTTCTAGCTTACAGGGCTTCAAACAACCACACTCAGAACAAAAATTTAATTGCATCTACTTTTCTGACCAGAATTCGGGTTCGCATAATAGCATTCGTTTGGAAATTCAGCAACTGCATGTAACACTTGACTGCATTTTAGAATGTGTGTAAACTGTGATATCGGCGCAATGGTGAAAAAAGCTGACAATTTTGAATTTTGATCTTCTTCTTTTTGCAAATGCTCTTTGTGCAACGCTTTTCATCTTCTTTTGTACTACTGGCTTGCGGCTACAAGATCGACAATCTACAATCCAAACTATGAAGGAAGTTATGATTTGTCAAAGCTTCAGAAAAAAAAGTTTTTGTTTATCAATCCGTATTTTCTGCCCGTTTGCGATATGAGTATAGGTGGATGTACGCTGTATTGCGAAAGGTTGCTGCTTCTGATGGCTGTATCGCACTTAAAATGTTGCTGATTCAGAAATTTAATAAAGTGAGAACTAGGAAGACGTTCATTATTTATGCACCAACCTAATAGATGCTGAACCGCTTTTAACTCAAGAAGCAATAATTTAGAGCTCAATTGGCATCGGGGAATGTTGCCAAACGGAACGGCAACTACCTGCCTCAATCCTCTGACATGCAAAGAATGGTTGCGCAGTATTATTGTAAAGCTTGTAATTTCGTTTTTCTGCTTTAGAGATATGATTGTGCTTTGGAGAATGACGTCGCCGAGTATTTGAGTTCATGCCCATCAAGCAAATCCGCTGAATCCTCGCGACCTAATGTTGGCGAGAATTTTATCCGCATTCCTGAAGAAGCTACGTATTTGGCTGCAACTGAGAAGGTGGAAAAAAGCAACAAAATCATTTTTGATCAGCTGTTATTTAGGCTGTTACATCTTGGTGGAAAGTGATACGTTCTGAAGAAGGTCCTGGTATGCAAGTGTATTTTAGGCAAAAGCACGTGGGTACTCCGATAGAATCTTTTACACAGGTCAGTGAATTGATGTAAAACTTATGCTCGATTACAACACTTGGTTCATGAAAGGAGAGATCGAGAGTGAGAATACATTGAAATAAGAATGTTTTTTGGTAATTTTTTAAGATGGGATGGTCCACATCTCGCAAGCTTGGTTGTGCCGTTGCAAAATGCGGCGGGGAGCATGTCGCAGCTTGTCGATATTCTCCCAGGTACACCAAAGAATTATTAGTTTTTTGAACTTTGCCTATAAACTATTCTTTTCAGAGGTAATTTTGTGGAGCAAGTCATCTACAAGAAGGGAACTCCTTGCACGGGTTGTGCATCTGGTTCCTGGTGCACGGAAGAATCACTTTGCACTCTATCATAAGTGGAGAGATCAGGACTTGCGAGGAATTTGCGATAACTTGTAAAATTATTTTCTCATCTTTCTCCATGATTACTATAAAGCTTACCACTACGCTCTTCCATCTGCTACAACAGTGGTCTTGCAGGGCTGCCTATCAATTTTCACTAACATGCGAAATCTTACAATCAGATTTAGAAAACTGCTCCATGACATTGTATGAAGTGTGCATTACTCAAAAGATATACTATAGGCAAACCTTGCTCACGAATATTATGTATTAGCTGAACGCGCTATTTGATCCCTGTCGATGCCTTGATATAAGTCACAAACCCCTCTCATTTGCAGTGCCTACTTAGAACGCCAATTTCCTGCCTAACACATATTCGTGTGTTCCCTTCTTCCGAAGCTTGCATTTTTTGAGCGGTCAGTATATTAATCATGTACACTTGTTCTCTGCACCGAATATCTGCTCTTCACGAAATATCGGCTGTCAGTGGGCGAAACACCCGAAGCGAACCCCGAACCCCATTAACTGAAGTCAAACAAACAGTCAACCACTAATCACAACAGAATCTTTTCCTCTTTTCTGCAGTTATGCACATAAGGTTATCAAAGGAATGCTGAGATAACCGCAATCTGCAATCTATGCTTCTCAGTTTGTGTAGCTGTAGCTAATTTTCAAAATTCCTACTTAAAACTTTTGAAGAACCTCTCCAGCCAGCAGATAAATCAAAATCACCAAGGCAACTTTTGATCTTTCTCTATTTTTTGCAAATTTTGCTGGATAGTCTTCTAAAACCTTTTCCAGAATTCTAAATTCTTGAAGGATTGCACGACACTCGACTGCCCCGAACACTACGCACTGGAGTGGCACGCCTGCGTTTTTTTTGTTGCGTTCTCTTTCCTTCGCCAGCGAACGACAAAAATAGAGTGAATAGGTGGCGAAACCCCGAGTAGTTTTGCTTTTTATCAGCGACCGCCTAAAATCGAATCTGGGACATTAGTAATAAGTCGACAGATAAGTTTTGCAACTAATTTTGTAACTTTTCTCTTTTTAAATGTGACTCGATCACTTTTGGCCATAATGTAAATAGATTAGGTAGTAGGCTACAAATGTGCGCAAACGGTTTGACTTTTTGGTAGCGAAGTAGAGAAAATTCTTGCAATCATCGAAAGCTGGTCAAATTTGAAGTTTTGAGGGTCAGAGAACCAAAAATACAGCCGTTCTCAGTATGAATTGAACAAATCAAGCCAAAACTGCACTCAGATAGTAGATAGAGGAATCCCTATGATCTGATCAGTTTCATCAGTTTCGGCTAGATGCGTTGCATTCAAACTGAGAACACTTTCATTTTGACGGCCGAATTTTTTCCGGCCCTTGAATTTAGAGTTTGACCAGCTTTCGAAAATTGTGTGGTTCTTCTCTAATTCAATACTAAAAATCAAACAAATTGCGCATATTTGTAGCCTGCTACCTAAACTGTATTAGCCCAGAAAAAAATTTGTCATGGTCAAAAACAGAAAAGTAAGGAAATATGGAAATTATTGCAAAACTTATGTGCCAACCGAGTAGGTGTTATGACATTCAAAAACTGCGTTTTCATCTCGTTTCTAGAAGACTTCAATGCACAGTTTGCTCACATGGTCTTCTTTCCAATGGTGATTGCATTTCTGCGCTGTAAGTGCTCTACGAAATGAGATATTCACCAAAAATCTAGCGAACTGACATAAGAACCAAAGATTTTTCCTAGATCTTATCAAAGAACAATGTACAGCCTGTTCATTTTTGATTTCTTTTGAGTACTGAAATTTTGCTATGTACCTTTTAGCGAACTTGTGCAACAGGTCTCTTGAGTAGAAATGAGCAGTACTTGTGTTTGGCAGCTTTGAGAGAGCAGAATATTGTTCTCAGAGAGTTTGCCAATGTGCTTGGCTTAGGCGGCATGCTGCATTCATCGCAGTGTGGCCTTATCCTCAGCTATACGGCCTTTCAGACTGAGTTGCTGAGTTGCTTGGCAAATTGACAGTAGCTCAAGAAAAAGCTTTTTAAATTGCTTCCATTGAGGGCATATCTACAAACAACTTTAGAAGCGATTAGCCAGAGCTCGGTCATTTGGCAACATTTATCTATTATAAAATGTAGCTTCGCTTACCTGCTTGCAGATCCGTCAAAACTTGTGTTTTCTGGAGAAAACGTCTACAAAAGTATTATAATTCGAGATTTTGTCTTACTTTTGCATCTAAGCGTCGTTCTTTGTAACTGTTGAGCTGTAAAGGTTGTTAAGTGGTTCGTCCTTTTTACCTTATCCATTTTTTGACTTTCTCTTCCTCAGAGGTCCAGGAGCATTTATTAGCAACCCCATCTTGCCAAACTTCGTTAACATCTTTTTAAGTTCTCACTTCAAAAGCTGAGGAGTCAAAAGACATACTAGAAATCATCGCTCTGATAGATGTCGTATTGCAAATAAATGATCGCTACAAACAAATCAGGTGTGCATACTGGCTTGCATGCGTATAATAAATGGCCTCTGCTTTGCAGAGTTCTCACCGGCTGTTATAAAACGTACGTAGTACTGGCAGCATGTTCCTCAAATCATTTTTCAGTCGTTTATTTGGTACAAAACTGAGTCTCTTATGCGACAGCCGCAGTGTTAACACCGAAAATACGTGAAAACGTTTGATAGAGCAAAGCAAAGCAAAATGAAGATACTCTCAAAACTGTGATCTCCTTCAGCTTAGAAGCCAAACTCAAAAGATACCCTGTTATTATAGAAATTAGATCTCAACCACAGTGTGATCTTGCAAACCCTCCGATTGGTCATCGCATTGTGGACGCACAGATCTATGCATAAGTGAGGTTATTGGAATTTCCGAGCTTTTCAATGATTAGAGCACACACAGAGATAGGATTTTTCAAATCTTAGATATAAAGTAGAGTGTCTGTTTGTCTGTATGTCTGTCTGTATGTCTGTATGTACGTATGTTCCGAATATAAAATTTTATTTCTGAACCGATCCGGACCAAACTTGGCACACATACATTTCAGGACAGCTTCTGGGATCTTTAAGCTTGATCATTGACTAAGAACCGAAGTAGGGGGTAACTACGATGGGAAAAGAGAAAGAATATGGAGAAGACGATTATCATCAAAGCATGATTAAGTCGACCAAAAAATGCATTTTTCGCTCCCCGTAAAATTCGCAAGTTATGAAGTCCGTAAGTTTGGTTCTCCGACTCGAACATTCTTGAAACTACGAGTTCTCTTCTTGGCCTATCTATGAGCAACAAGACTGCTCTTGCCCCAATTCATTTAATTTGCTAAAGAGATTCTAGTGAGAGCCTAGAACGAAATTCCGCCAAAAACCGTTGTGCGCATTTTGAAAATTTCTCTGAGCAAAATAAATTCTTTCATCAAAACCAGAGGTGGGTATCTTGGAAGTGATCTACAAGATCTCATACACAAGTTTCTTTTCGAACAAACAAAAACAGGCTTGGATTTCATTGAAATCTATCAAAGTTTGAAACATTTGTGCGTCACATTTCATATGGACCAACGTAGGGATAAAACGATACTTTTGCATCTAATGAGGGAAGAATACTAACTTAGATTTGACATTATGAGGCACACATATTTGGAATTGGCTTGGGCGCTGATTCCAAATATGCTGTTCGTAGCTGCTGAGCGCCATTTTGAAGTGAATTATGAGCTTGCTATTGTCAGTAGTTGACATCTTTCTGAGAACGGTAACACGGTCTGTAGATAAGCCTACTTAAACAAAGTGCTCAGAGGTTGAAATAGCATCAGATCAAACTTGCCAATCTTTAAAGGAAGATTATGATATTGCAAAATCACCTAGACGTATAATGTAGCATTAGTAAGTTGATGGGACGAAAATTTTTGCACATAAAAGGGACAATAACTGGCTTCAGAATGATGCTCAACAGCTAATAACAGCATTCAGAATCCCAAGCTAATTCCAACCATATGCTCCCAAAAGGCGAATTTAATTAAGTATCCATCCCTTGAAAGTAAGAACTAAGAGTAAGACTTCAATCTTAGTACTCCAGTCTTAATTGAAAATGAGTTTTCATAAGACCCTCAGGTTTTTCTAATTGTAAGTAACGTTGATTATTATATTTTACACTGCATCTTTGTGGTAACCACTCCTTCTGACAAAATAAGGCTTGTCAAGATTCGTAATAGCCGCCTAATGATAAAGCCAGCGTTCATTTGTGGCTATTTTGTTCATGCACGTAAGAATTCTCTGCACTGAGTAATCCCCAGATTTTAATAGCCGAGGTTTTTTTCAGATGTCAAAATTGTACCTGAATATGGACCTTTTTTCCATTTGCAGCCTATGTGGCAATGCTGAGGTTGCAGCAGTAGCCGCCGCAGTATGAGCAAAAAAGAACAGTAGGCACAATAATATAATACAAAATACCTTAATATACTAATAAGAACTCATGGAACCTATCTTTACTGCTTTTGATAAAAATCGATTTAATATTGATTTCTTGAGTTTTTATCTATAGCACTCTTTTTGACTTATTTCTTAGTATGCTTCTGCTAGTCATTTGCTAGTTCTTTTTGTGTGTTGAATTTCTTGTGTATATGATTGTCAATTTCCTAGAAACTATCCTGCTTTACAATTTGTTTCGATTATTCAAAGACGTAACTGATCTGCTGTAATTGAGCACATGAAAAAATCTTTATTTGCAAGCTGCGAGAAACTTTTATTATAAAAAGAAAGTGTAAACTTAGGACTTCTTGTAGTAAAATTACGGAAAGTTGTTTATGTTTTCCGGCGTTGAAAAAAAAGTAGAACAATCAGATAGCGCACTCTTTCGCCTTTTCTCAGGGAAGCTGAAAAAATCTTTACTTCCAAATTTTCTAGGGTATCTTGAGGCAAAAAATGTTGTCCTTTGTTGATTCAGTGGAATCTAGGTTTAGGAAACACATATAGCAAAAATCGAGCTAGGATTCGCAGTTGAAGTACTTGAGGTCAGAAACTTTTGAAACCTCCTTACACAGTATGTCGGTCATTTCAAAAGTACTGTTTATGGGAAAAACTGGGCTCTGCTTACTAGTGGGAGGGTGCCATGGACTACTTTCTATAATATAATGGACAATATCAATCTATCGATTTTCTACATACTATGATGGGATCTGGAAACTGCAGTGAGTTGAGACGTGATGTAAGGTGTGAGTGAGCACGCTGAATGGGACCTGTCAACCGTTTAGAGCTTTGATGTGCCGATCATTTATGCAAATTTTGCAGTTAGTGGCTGACAGCCGTTGCAGATTATGAGTGCGTTGATTATAAAAAGAAGTGGGGAGAAAATTGGCAGAATAGAAGTGGTGTAGGAAGCAGTAGGTAATCACCAAATTTATGCACAGCAAATTACAGTACAATAATTTCGGAACCCATCAAGTGTGACCGCTCCAACTCTGCAGTTCTGCCAACACTTCGGAAATGTGGTTGCTGCTCGTCATTGCTCTTATCCGCACTACCACGACAAAGAGCTGCTGAAAGGCAGCTTAACGGATACCAAATCACTGCGGGAGCAACAAAGGGTAAAGTCTGGCGTAAGTCGAGTTCAATCGGCACTATAGACTCCATCTCCTAAATTCTTGTCATTGGACTTGAACGTAGACTATCTTTCAAAAGACTTGGACTCACTTTCTTTGCTGCAGGAATGTAATGTAAAATGTAACAAAAGAAATAAATGATAAGAATTGTTAACTGAAATCCACATAGATGATAGTCACAACACGTGATTGTAAACTCCTAATGCTAACCAAGCTTTTGAAAATGACCGAATGGAAGCTGAGTTTAGCGACGACAAGCAGCCAGAGTTGTATTGAAGCACACAAGAGAAGTGGCAGTATAAACTCGAGAGTGGCTCTCAAGGTTCCATGTGCGGATTCTTGGCTTGATGTACAGCGAATGGTGTGAATAAGCATGATGTATTGTTCGCCTTTTATCTCGTCCTTGGGAATTATTTCGAGCTGGAAAAAGAATGAAATTTTTGAGACTATCAGATTTGCAATAGAGCACCTGAGCAGCTAATCCTTCAGGGACGACAGAAAGAAGAACAGGAACAAACATAGAGATAAAAGCAAAGATTGACAGCGTTCCGTTGCAAGTTGAAACTCGACTAGGTCGTGAGAGCAGCATTCCCTGTTATGTGTTTAGTCAACACAAACACACTCAAAAAGAATTACATTATTTTCCGGGGTATAAGGTCACTCATGTACAAGGCGCACCCGCCGCGCAAATGTTAGTGCGAAAACTGCGCCCTAAGCATGGCTTAGTATGGACTATACTTTAACAATTTACTCATCTATACTTCACCTGGAATTGATTGCTGAATGGGGGGGGGGGGGAGGGGAGGGAAGGCACAGAGTTTTCAAGATGTCAAGCCAATTTAATTGCCGAATAAGTTAACGATGCCCTAATGTTGGATATAGACTTAAAGGAGCTCAGTGACAGCTTTGAATGAGCTTAAAAAGTGATAACAGTATGAGTTTTCAAGTGTGAGAGTTTTGTTGTGCAGAATATGATGAGTCAAAGATAGAGCAGATAGATTTTTCTAGATAATTCATGATCATAAGAGATCCAACAAGGAACATATGCACAAAACTCTTGCAGAAAGCTAGTACGCTGCCTTTGCGGCGTCGCACGTTCCCGGTTTTCGTGAATCTGCTCCCGCGCGGTGCACAGAAATACTTTATACTCCGGAAAATAGGGTATTTCCTTGGTCAAAAAAAGTTCTCGGGTACGGGCACTCGATGTTTGTCAGACAAAATTTCGTGCCTGGCATTCTTTATCCGCATTTATTCTTATTCAACCGGCAATAGCGTGAGACATTTGTCATTTGAGGATCAAGGCCTCACTTGGGATAAAATGTTTCAAAAAATTATATTCTAAAATGGAAGAACCAAGGCTCCGATAGTTAATCCTAGACTTTAAACGAACATCAATTTTTGTACAGAGACGACAATATATTGGGTGAAACCCTGCGCTGTTGCTGTCTAAAGAGGAAAAATAACCAAGAATCTCAGCAAACATCGATTGTCTGTACCCAAAACTTTTTTGCTTGATGGGATATATCTATGTTCATTTTTAAAAATAGCAACAAATAATTTTCTCCATAAACGCTTCGCTGGGATTGAACATCAAATTCAGTGAACTAGAGTTAGGAATACAACATCGAGTTCTTGAAGCCGCATAGGAATAGAATATGAACAGAATATGCACATGTACCCGTTTTGTAGTGGTCCTTCCCTTGAGAATATATCCCTGTCTGAAGCCTTAAATTCGCCAAGAATGCATGTAGATCTGGTAAAGATAACAGAAGAAACCAGTAAAAATCTTTTCTCCTCTTTACCCATCTGTCTTATAGGTGGAGGTCGAAGAAGCATCACAGGAGATGCCAACTATCAACACGCACAAGGGAATTATAGCTATTATACAATGCTTGCTTTTCGGAGTGAAATTGGCACGAGGTGTATTCCGGCAGATTTGAATTTGTGATAAGCGGACTTGATGGAGTAGCTGCTTATCACGATGACACATCATCACGGGAAGACCTTGGAACTCTTGTTCAAGCGGGTCAAGGATTACGGATTCAAGTCAAAAAAATGGAAAAAATGGAAAAATGGAAAAATGGAACTTTCTGATGCCAGAGATCTGCTACTTAGGTTGCATTGACTGTAGCCGACCAGACTCAACATTGAGGTCATCCAGCAAACGCTAGCGACGAAGAACATAACGAATGTTTGTTTATTCCTCGGCATAATAGTTACTACATATGGATTATTCAACACGTAGCAGATTGCGCCAGCTTTGAGCACCCTTAGACGCGTTGCTCAAGAAGGATGCAAGGTTCGAATGGACAGGGGAATGCCAAATAGCATTTGAACGTGCCAACAAAGTAGCGGATCTACCGTCCGCACGTTTCGATCTCAAAGGCAGAAACTCCGGGCAAAAACTCGATTTCTAGAAAATCCACTCACCGAGGGTTATCGCAACGCTTAAGTCGAAATCCACATTAGAAGGCGCGAAAACGCGAGAACATACGTTTTCCAAAGACGCACGATTTGAAATTCGACGGTCCCCACCAAGGCAGAGACGCAGAGTCGCTGCGGGGCCCTACATTTTGAGTGTAATGGCATGCGTACTCTGCCGCACAGCAGGAATTCCGACAGCTCGGAGGACCCCGCCCCAAGGCGTAAGTTTCCCACTTTCCGGTCGTTTTTCTTGCTTTAGGTCGAGCGTTATGACGTCGCACTTGCGCGATGTTGTGTCTGAGAGGGCCACTCTCGCATGGCACTGAAATCCAAAACCCCCGTCTTCCACACTGCCTTTAAGTTGCAGATAGTGGTAGCTGCCGAAGCATTAGATTAAGGAATTGGTACAGTGATCATACACAAGATGTTCGGACAGAGCCGATGCCTATCGCGACTAATCCCTCCACGGCTATTTCGAACAGAAGACGTCGTGATAGCGAAGATGGAGGAAGATGTACAAGCCGTTCAAGCCGCCGCTGTACGAGCGCTACCAGTGACTAGGATCAAGGTTGAAGAAGAATCCCGTAGGGACGAGACCAGTTCGCAGGCCATACGTGTGCTACAATCAGGAGCATGGTCGTACAAGCCAAAAGAAGAAGTCGGAAAATGGAGAGCACTGAGCGAGAGCTTATCAGCGCAAAATAAATGTTTGTATTTTGGTTAGAGAGTAGTCATTCTAGTCCAAAACATCTTACGCGTGAGGGTTTTTAGCAAATGACTCTATGCTTTTTTCATTGTCAGCATCGGTATGATTGAGGAGGTAAACGCCTATTAGGAAGCGAGTTCAATGAGATGTACAAGTTTTCTGGCATCAGTGAGTATCCTTCTTTGGAAAGACAACGACAAGAATCATTGCTCCAACTTCTGCATTCTTAACGAATGTATGCACATAATGTGATTACAAACTGAACTTACTATGAATAAATGAAGCAACATGATTGCCCAGGGTGTCAGCACACGTCCTGCACTTGCAAGAGAATGGTAAGCGCTGCATGAGAAAGGGCCAAACATCCATATTTTCACCAGCTTCTCCAAAACCACCATCGGTAAACCCAAGGGAATCTAAAAAGCATAAGCGCTTTTCAAATCTTACTGCGTTAATCACTGGATACTTCAAGTGAAAGATCTTGCTGGGACTATCATAATGCTTGCGCCCTTCAAGTGACTTCCGAATATATAACATTTGCTTGAAAGTGTTCCTTCGGAGGTCAAGTCTACTGACTAACATATCCGACTACAACCACATTATCTTGAAGGCAGTGTCCACGCAAATTTGTGCATATGGGTTCCCTAGGAACTGTTGAGGTGGTTCTAACTAAGGCACTGCTCAGACCGCAGCGCAAATAATTCATTCACGGCTGAGAAATCCATCCATAAACACTCCGCGGCTGCGCCGTGACCGTAATACTTAGGATGGGTCCTAGCGCGAACATAGTGTTAAAGGCAGCGGCTCGGCAGATTGTCGACTTGAGGTTTTTTGCTTACCTGGGGCAATTCGAGGCGCTGCTTCCGAAGATCTATCTTGAAGAGCGCGAAAACGGCAAAAACTACCATTTCCCAAGGCATTTTGAATTTGGACGAGTGGAGCATGTCCCGCCATGGTTAGAGAGGCAGAGTCGTTGCGGGACCCTCGCAGTATAACATGCGGTATGCCTTCTCTGGGAGAATCGCAAGCTCGTCCGCGCGTAATAGAATGGCTTGCGCGTAACAGGGTTTTCTAGGCAAGAAAGTATGCTGTGCGCTCGGACTTGCTCTGTTCTCATGTTTGATGTGCAAGCAACCTTCCCAAAATGTCGGGATGTTCGGTTTTGGCGAGCCGCTGCCTTTAAAGTGAGCTAAGTCGTTTTTGGGTTACGGTCACGGCGCAGGCGCGGGGTTTTCGGGAATGGATTTCTAAGCCGTGAATGAACAATTTGCGCTGCCTCTTGGGCAGTGCCTTAGTAAGGACCCGTCATCAATTTCCAGGCGAAAAAGCCATGTGCCCAGATTTGCCTACTGCCTTTTGTATCACATACTGCTCCACTGTTACGTTGTTGCTCCACCTTACAAACTTGATGGTCATCTTCATGTTGGCATGTGGCATCTAGCTGATAGCAGATGTAGTTGTGATTCAAAGAGGAACTGAGTTGTATTCAAAGAAACAAATGTTTGCTGATAAACACCACACCTTTCCCGTAGAGATACAATTATGGGAACTTTTGCGCCTTTTCCATGTGCGAGGTCACATGACAGGCCGGCCTAAGGATTGATTCATTTCAAAGCATCACACATGTTTCCGTCAAGACTATAAAATGTGTCAGCACAAGACGAAGTACTTGCGACAGAGGACCGAAGTACTAGACAGAAGTTCAGAAGTACTTGCGCTGAGGTTTAAAAGATGTTATGTCATTTAAGACTCCGCCTGCGCAGACTGTGATGTGACATAATGCATGGTTTTTCATAACCATCGCGCAGGCAAAGCCTTTCAGTGACAATAACATTGTTTACCTTATCTAGCTACTCGCAGATCAACAGCTCCTCTATGGGTTTCTAAGTCCGAGAAAATTTCGGCTCATCCCACGACGCTTTGGCGTTCTTGTCCAGAGGCAATTCATGTTTGCAAATGACATTTGGTGCAAATGCGCATATTAAACAAAGGCAATATCGCCCTTTTAAAGCAGCAGTTGTCGCATTAGAAAATTGCGTATGTCGAAATATAAAGCAAATTATTGGGTTCTTGCAAGCTACAGTCATTCAAGCCATATTCCGAGAGTGAAGCTTGTCTCCTTTCGGACCCAGATAAGGCTTTAAACATCGTGTCACCAAGCATAAAGCGCGCAAATTTCAGGAAGAGACTTGGACGAGAACTTGAATGGAAAGTAAGACCGTTGCCGTGCAGTCTTTGCATTTTGTAATTGTTTTTTTTGTACTGTCTAGCACATATACGCAAATTTGACCGGTTCTGCTCAAACCAAATAATTATCAAATTCCAGGCTCGGTTAATGATGAATCTTGGCTTAATATAGTTACTTGCATACGTATTCTTTAGCCGAATAACCAAGATTTCAACACTCTTTATTTAGTCAAGCTAAGCTTCGGTGTCTTCAACATTGTCGGAGCCTCGGCAGTCTTCGAATCAGGGTTGAACAATCACCAAACATAGCGTCTGCACGGTTAGTAGACAAACTAAAACTACTAGCTGTGCAGACGTTGTGTTTGGTTGGTTGCTCAACCCTGATTCGAAGACTGTCGAGGCTCCGACGAAGGTGAAGGCACCGAAACGAAATGTTAGCCTGACTGAATAAAGCGTATTGACAACCTGGTTACCGGTTAGTGAAAACGTTTACAAGTAAATATTTATCGTCCCGCGTAGCCAAACAGACGCTCGCTCTCCGAATCAAATGCAGATTGTTCGACCAGAGCACGATCCGGACTTCCTTATACCAATGCTGTCGTATTTGGAATCTTGAATCTGCTGGAACACTAATCTGCGGTGAAACATAGCATGTGAAGTGCGTTATTGCTCCCTAATGTGTTCAAAAGATGCGGCGTACGGATGCGAGAAGTAATCAGTCTGGTAACAAAGACATGTCTAATTGTGAGCTAAATAACACTTTTAATAGATCATAATCCTGTCAGCGAAGACTTGGATTGTCGATTAAGGTGCATCTGATCGCAAAAAAATAATTCTAACTCCAAAAGACACGACCAAAGCAGAAATCAAATGTTGCTTACCAAAAAATGGATGATGAAGAGCAGTGTGATGAAAAACTGTGAGGGATTTTGTCTTTTCAAGCGTTTGGTGTAAATCTAAAATGAAACATAATTAAATTTTGTATTATTCTACTTTCGACTAGAAATCCCAACTTCAAGCGTCGATTTTTCATTGGCTCGTGCTTTCTAGTCTCGCTTGGTTTACTCCATTACGTGTGAATTCCCAAAAGCGGAAAACCGCGCTTTTGCAATAGCCAGGATTTGCGCTGCATGTGCCCGAAGTGCTGGCATTTTGGCAGCAGATTATTAGGAAATGTTGGAAATGAAAGAGGTCGCTGCGGACCGAGCTGGATTACATAAACTTGCGCTGTACTTCTTGGTTTAAACAGTTGTATATATGTTATATAGTACAATATGATGCAAAGTGCAATATATGGTGATATATTGACAAATCATTATAAAGCATAAAGCAGTTTTTTTTTGTATTTCTGTGATTGCTATCATGCACTGGCCACCTGGTGCAGTTAGACAACCTCCGCCAAATCACAACCAAAATTTTGCCGTCTTCTTAGATCCTTTGGGAATATATTTTTGATTTATTGTTGCTACCCATCCTTCACTAACACACTCACGACAAGGCCAATTTTTTAATGACTGCCATTTCAGACCAGAGAGATTTTTCAATATTAAGCTTGCGTAATGTTTTCTGGCTGCTGATGGGTCCTGTGGTCTAACGTCCCAGTAATTTACTCTCTTGGTAAGTTTCAAGAGGTATATACAGAAATTTACTCAATTTGCACAGAAAGTTTTATCGTAAACCAGTAAGAGCAAAAACTTCAGAAAGCATACGACTCACTGGTGGGTTGCATTGTCCGAAATGGCAAGACACGTACGACTCACCGATGGGTCGTATTATCGTAAATGTGTTAAGTCAGTTGAATACTTGATTTCAAAAATGAATGGGGTTACACATTATGACGGTGTTTTGAGCTTGTAGACATTCTGTTCACATTACCTGGGAAGAGCTATATGCTTGATATCGTTATTTGCAATTAATCCGTGGTTTGTTGAGTAAATGACGAAACTCCCACAAAAAATTCTTCAAAGTTAGGATATCTATCGCAGCCTACAGTAATTGTCATACATATTCACATACCAACATACCTTCGCTTATAATTAATGATCATTTAGTAGCCTGAAAACTAAATTTTGCAACTAAGTCCGTGGGCGCGTTCACTTTCTGATATTGTAAAGACTGCCGTGTGAGCTACAGACTGGCCCAGACCGCTCGCTTCTTGAAGACAAAGTGTAAAATTTAAAGATTCTCGAAAAGTAGGAAAATCTGAAGATCTATGTGGCTTTGAGTAAAAATGAAGCCATTCTCATCCTAGAGTATGCACAACGTTTTGAAATTGCACATCAATTGTTGCTAGAGGTTGTTTAATTATCTCAACACAAAAGCAATAGAATATAAAGACCTGATTTGGTATACTCACAAAGTTCAACAAGGTCCGCATGTCAGATAACTCCACCACATGAAGTTTGAGCCAAATCTTATATATAAAGCTGAATGTCTGTTTGTCTGTATGTCTGTCTGTCTGTCTGTATGTATGTCTGTGTGTACGTATGTTCCGAATAGAAAATTCCATTTCTGAACCGATCCGGACCAAACTTGGCACACATACACTACGGGCCCCGGCGGGTGTCATAGGCTACTTTTCGTCATCGATCGATATCGATTTTATCGATTTTTATCGATTTTTTTGCTGAGTTCACCTACGGGGCTGGGAGTTGGCACAGGGGGGTAGTCGAGCATGGGGATTCCGAATACAATATTGGTTTTCAGGATTATCGATTACTTTTATCGATTTTATCGATTTTTTTGCAAAGTTTGAGCTACGGGGCTGGGAGTTGGCACAGGGGGGTAATCGAGCATGGGGATTCCGAATACAATATTGGTTTTCAGGATTATCGATTACTTTTATCGATTTTATCGATTTTTTTGCAAAGTTTGAGCTACGGGGCTGGGAGTTCGCACAGGGGGGTAATCGAGCATGGGGATTCCGAATACAATATTGGTTTTCAGGATTATCGATTACTTTTATCGATTTTATCGATTTTTTTGCAAAGTTTGAGCTAGGGGGCTGGGAGTTGGCACAGGGGGGTAATCGAGCATGCTGATCATCCCCAAGGGGGGTGATCAGCATGCTCGAACACCCCTGTGCCAAATTCCAGCCCCCTAGCTCAAATTTTCAAAAAATCGATAAAATCGATAAAAGTAATGGACGATCTTGAAAACTAATATTGTATTCGTAATCTGCATGCTCGATTACCCTTTGTGCAAACTCCCAGCCCCGCAGGTCAAACTTTGCAAAAAAATCGATAAAATCGATAAAAGTAATGGACGATCCTGAAAACTAATATTGTATTCGGAATCCCCATGCTCACTTCCCCCCTGTGCCAACTCCTAGCCCTGTAGGTGAACTCTGCCAAAAAATCGATAAAATCAATAAAAGCAATCGATAATTCTGAAAACTAATATTGTATTCGGAATCCCCATGCTCACTTCCCCCCTGTGCCAACTCCTAGCCCTGTAGGTGAACTCTGCAAAAAATCGATAAAAATCGGTAAAATCGACATCGATCGATAACGAAAAGTGGACTGTGACTCCCGCCGGGGCCCGAAGTGTATGTGTGCCAAGTTTGGTCCGGATACGGCGGAGCCGGGTAAGCCAGCTAGTCTGTTATAATCTATGATTTTGCCATTATACCATACAACTACCGTAACCCTCACTGCGACATCAGAACTCGCCAGAACTGTAAATGCGCTTGTAGCTTGTAGCTTGTCATAATCTACATAATGACATAATTTGAGTGCGTCATACACAAAAAAGAGAAAAGTCACAAAAGTACTTGCAAAACTTAGTTAACGATCTTATATATCCTATTCGGAAAGCTGTGCCTTAGCGAATTGATGCCAACTATTGTCAGGCAAACTCAGTGAGGACTCGACGGACAATCGCCGACAATTTTTGCTTAACAATCTAATGCGGCATCAACATTGCAATAGGTTGTTGTATTTTACATCTTTCTACAATTTCCCTTTGAATAAGACTTTCCGAATAATGAGCAAATTGGCACTATGTAGACTACGAAGCGAAATATAAATCTGCAAACTTGGTTCTTGATGACAAAATAGCCAGTGATGAGGTCCTACGGGTTTCAAACAAAATGCTGTACAAAACATGAACTAAGCAGATGCCAGATCTATAGGCAAAGTGTTGCTAGACATTAATTGCTAAATTTAAGAAATTGTAAGTGGGTTTTTCAAAATCTGGTGCTCAAAAAGACGAGCAAGTCGAATGCGTCGACGCTACCCCCGAAATCTGTCGCCAATGAGTCGAATGCAAAGTTTGGCGAAACTCTACATAGTATGGTAATTTATAATACCCTAAAATCTTACAGATAAGTCCGCCTTTTGCCCCGAAAAATCAATGAGAAATCGCCCTCGCGCCGCCAAAAGTCTTGCAGATAAGTCCTCCCATCAAGTAAGTCCGCCTACAGATAAGTCCGGACATATCTGACAGATTTCATGGTAATTATAATGGAAAGAAATCGGACTTATCTGATGGCGGACTTATCTGAAGAGCCATATTCGAATTAAAAAAGCGGACCTATATGATGGCGGACTTGTCTGTAGGCGGACTTATCTGATGGAAGGACATAACTGTGAGATTTTGGGGTACAAAAAAAATAAGATAGAATATTGAATACCGCTAAATATAAGTACCATATTCAGTCCTTGCGAGGACAAATAGTGTTATAAATTCGCAACTACAGAAGCGTACTGCGCAAAATAATTACTTTTCGTAAGCGAAATCTTATATATAAAGCTGAATGTCTGTTTGTATGTATGTATGTCTGTCTGTCTGTCTGTCTGTATGTCTGTGTGTACGTATGTTCTGAATAGAAAATTCCATTTCTGAACCGATCCGGACCAAACTTGGCACACATACACTTCGGGCCCCGGCGCGTGTCATAGGCTACTTTTCGACATCGATCGATATCGATTTTATCGATTTTTTGCAAAGTTTGAGCTACGGGGCTGGGATTTGGCACAGGGGGGTAATCGAGCATGCTGGGCCGGTATGTATCAATCGTCCGTCCGGGTAAGTTACCCGGACAGGTTGTTTCCGCTTCATAGCTCGGTGCTTTGGGGATCTGTGTTCTTTCTTGTTTGTTCATCCTTAGGAGGCTCTACTACCCTAATATTCAAGCAGAGTGAGTAGCAGCACTTTGCTGTATAAGCTGAGATAATTCGTTATTTGTATGATCCCGAACGGGATCTCGCACTGATCACGCCCATTTTCAAAGTTATCTGTATCCGCAAAAACTCAATGAAAACGTCATAGAATTTTGCTGTCGATCTATTACGACAGTGCTACGCATGTTTTCAGTAGCACAGATGAAATGTGCAAGTTTTGAGTTCTTCGATAAAGCCCAGCTCGCGAGCACAGGTTCATCGAAGATTTTGTCAACTTGATTTTCCACTTATTTCTTTCACAAACATGCGTAGCACTTCGCATTAGATTGACAGCAAAACTCTATGACGTTTTCATTGAGTTTCTGCGGATATAAATAACTTTGAAAATGAGCGTGATCAGTGGGAGATTCCGTTCGGGATCATAGAAATAACGAATTATCTCAGCTTATACAGCAAAGTGCTGCTACTCATTGTGCTACAACTTTAGGGTAGTAGAGCCTCCTAAGGATGAACAAACAAGAAAGAACACAGATCCCCAGAGCACCGAGCTATGAAGCGGGAACTACCTGTCCGGGTAACTTACCCGGACGGGCGATTGATACATACCAGCCCTGATCACCCCCGTGAGGGTGATCAGCATGCTCGATTACATCCCCCTGCCAAATTCCAGCCCCTAACTCAAATTTTGCAAAAAAATCGATAAAATCGATAAAAGTAATGCACGATTTCAAAAACTAATATTGTATTCGGAATCCCCATGCTCACTTACCCCCCTGTGCCAACTCCCAGCCCCGTAGCTCAAATTTTGCAAAAAGTCGATAAAATCGACATCAATCGATAACGAAAAGTGGACTGTGACACCCGCCGGGGCCCGAAGTGTATGTGTGCCAAGTTTGGTTCGGATAGGTTAAGAAATGGAATTTTCTGTTCGGAACATACGGCGGAGCCGGGTATGCCAGCTAGTATAGAATAAACTTCTAGAACAGGTTCTATCCGCACTTGTAATAACTATTTTTCCCCTTTCATAAATATCTTCGCTGCATTCCTACCGAAAACTGGTATATAACAATGGGCTACGTTTATAGATCACATGATAATCTTTAATTTACCAAGAATGAATGTGTCTCGTTCAAAAAATGGCAAAAGTCATAAGAAGAAGCTGCCTTGGTTGCCGGCCTCTATGCTAACAAATAAAAACACTACAATATTTGAGTAAAGCAGAATGTATCTTGAACGTACATACCTGCAGAACAATTTGACTTGCGTTGCCGCAAATAGCGATTGTGAGACATGCGACTAATGCAACAGATGTAGCAATTTCCACTGAAGACGGCTCTTCGGTTGGAGGTAGAAAGGATAACACTGGGAGATTTTCGTCACCTGTTGTGTCATTTGCATTCTCTTCCATTCCCTGCAAACATCTGTACCAATTGATGTTTTGGCAAACTTTGACAAATACACAGAGTTATATCGTTCTCAAACTCGTACTCCCTCGCTAGTATACTTTGGACCTAATCGAATGATTATTCGATTATTCGAATAAATCATTCGAATGCGAATGATTCGAATATTCGAATATTCGAAAATCTGAGATTTCGAATAATATTCGACAGTCGAATAATCAAAAATTTTCATTTTCGAATATTACTCGAAAGTCGAATATTCGAAATTCTCAACTTTCGAATATTATTCGATAGTCGAATATTCGATGGTCATTAATTCGATCATTCGATGTCCATGGAATATCCGAATATTCGATGAGCACCGAATATTCGGAAATTCGATAAGAATTGACTATTCGAAAATTCGAAGCATGAATATTTGGAAATTCGATATCCACAACATATACGGGGTGTCCCAAGATATGTACAAACTGTTTAATCGCTAATACCTCTTACGAAGTCTTTTGCCAATCTTTAAGTAACATCCTGTAGGGATGGCTTCAGCTTACAAACACAGCAGAAAGCAAATCACCTAGGTTTTTCTTGTTCTGTTATCACGGTATGAACTTAGCATATAGAGCAACTGCGAAATGAGACATCCAAAAGAGTTTAATCAACAAAGAAATCTCAAATCTATGTAGCAGGATTTTACGTATGTTTAACTACGCAAGGGCTTTCAAGCCTTTTAAATGTGCATTTTCTTTTTTGAAAGCGTGGGAAAACATCTGTTATGGTGTACCTGGCATAAGTTGCAAAAGGCGTTACGGTGAGTGCAAATCTTATATATAAAGTTGAATGTCTGTTTGTCTGTCTGTCTGTCTGTCTGTCTGTCTGTCTGTCTGTCTGTCTGTCTGTATGTCTGTACGTATGTTCCGAATAGAAAATTCCATTTCTGAACCGATCGGGACCAAACTTGGCACACATACACTTCGGGCCCCGGCGGGTGTCATAGGCTACTTTTCGTCATCGATCGATATTGATTTTATCGATTTTTTGCAAAATTTGAGCTACAGGGCTGGGAGTTGGCACAGGGGGTAATCGAGCATGCTGATCACCCCCGTGGGGGTGATCAGCATGCTCGATTACACCCCCTGCCAAATTCCAGCCCCCTAGCTCAAATTTTGCAAAAAATCGATGAAATCGACATCGATCGATGAGAAAAGTGGACTGTGACACCCGCCGGGGCCCGTAGTGTATGTGTGCCAAGTTTGGTCCGGATCGGTTGAGAAATGGAATTTACTATTCGGAACATACGGCGGAGCCGGGTAAGCCAGCTAGTTCTTTATATAGTGATGTCTTTAGAAGCCTAGTGTAAGATCGGCCTTTTTGTTTCTCATTCTTGGGCAAGCGGCTCTTGATATCTCAAAACCCTCCTCAGTTTTCCTACGGTAATTTACAACAGTGAAAAGCGATCGATACATCTTCTCGTTAATTGCTTGAGCGTAATCCAAGATTGGTACAGAACTTTATCGCACAGAATAACAGACTAACGTTTCGGCGAACTCGCCTTCTTCAGAGTCTGAAAAAGTCGAAGACACATAGGTAAACTATCCGATCAAACACCTCATCGACTACAGAAAAGAGCCCAACCCTTTAAGAAAAAACAACAGCCTCAACCAAAACTAAGATTAAGCTAGTGCTCACCTTAGCAGATGAAAATTTGTTGGAGGTCCTACGGATAGGATTTCGTGGTTTCTCAGTACTATTCTCTCTCAACTGCTAAGATTTGTCCCCGCACACCTCTCCAACACCAGAATGTTTCTTGATCGTCTCCGCAACACCAATGTAAGGCAAGGGTGCGTCTTGGAGTCTTTCGATGTGGAATCGCTCTATACCAACGTCTCCAACGACGCCGCACTGCAAACGACCTTCGAACTTCTTGTAGAACATCAGTCGTCACTCAATCTTTATGGTCTTAGCATCAGAGGCATCTTGTCGTTGGTCAAAGAATGTCTCAACTGCTCCATATTTCGTTGGTGTGGAAACTATTACAGGCAGATTAGAGGATTGGCTATGGGACAGAGACTAGCGCCGACCTTGGCTATTGTTTTCATGTCAAAGGTAAAAGCCCCAATTTTGGCGAGCAAGCCTCTGCTCTACTGTCGGTACGTGGACGACTGCTGTATCGTATGTCCTACCCAGGCCGAGCTGGATGCGTGCTTCAATATCATGAATGCCCAGGACATTAACATCAAGTTGACGAGGGAGAAACCCAAAGATGGATGGCTGCCGTTCCTCAACGTACAGTTATGTTTATCGAACAGGGGTTTCAAGACCAGATGGTACCGAAAGCCTAGCAGCAAAAACATCTTAGTACACCATTCTTCAGCACATCCCGCACGAATAAAGGCCTCCATCGTGGGGAACATGTTTAGAACGGCTGCAGGGGTCTCTTCGGATAAGGACGAGAAGATGCGTTCGCTGGAGCTCGCAGAATCAGTAGCAAGATCTAATGGATACAGCACGAAAACTCGTCACCCTTACAGATACCGAGTCCATCGTACACTGCCTAGATCGGGAGCTGATGATCAGATCCCATTCTGTCTGCCATATATCTCAGAAGAGTTTAGTAGGGCTGTTCGCAGATTACTTCATCAAGCAGGCCTCAACGATATGGTATGGATCGTCGACATTCCGCCCGCAAACCTTAAACAGCAGTTAGTACGAAACCGGGAGTATGATCGTCTCTGTACAACTCCTAATTGTGTGATTTGTCCATACGGAAAGGAAGGAGACTGTATGGTATCAGGTGTTGTCTACCTTATCACGTGTACATCATGTGGAGACACGTATATTGGCGAGACGGGTCGCCCCCTATGCACGCGCATCAAAGAACACTTAGATGGTCTCAGCAAGGGCAACGTAGCTACTCCGTTAGGCATGCATCGCAGGCTCAGCCATGACGACGCGGAGGTGGTGGTGCAGGTTCGAATCCTGGCGCTTGAACCCGAAATCCTAGCGCGCAAGACACTCGAAGCGTTTTGGATAGCCGCCCAAAATCCAAAAATCAACCGGAAGGACGAGTGCCTAGCCATTACTAACGAGCTGTCGCCATATCAGAGCCTCTGTGGCTTTTGAATAATGGGGGCAGGTCAGAACCGGGTCACTAGTTAACTATAAAAGTAAAGCAGTACAGCTTTTTGACATAGTGGTCTGCACCCACCAAATTTTCATCTGCTAAGGTGAGCACTAGCTTAATCTTAGTTTTGGTTGAGGCTGTTGTTTTTTCTTAAAGGGTTGGGCTCTTTTCTGTAGTCGATGAGGTGTTTGATCGGATAGTTTACTTATGTGTCTTCGACTTTTTCAGACTCTGAAGAAGGTGAGTTCGCCGAAACGTTAGTCTGTTATTCTGTGCGATAAAGTTCTGTACCAATCTTGGATTACGCTCAAGCAATTAACGAGAAGATTGCAACTATGCCAAGATTCATGGATAGTTGAACATGGATGCTTATGATCGATACATCGCTTCATACTGTAAGTCTATGTTGATGTCAGCCCACAGATTCACATACTGTTGGGACCCCTGTATATCAGTCCACAATCTCAATGAGGATAAATAATCTTCTTTGATTTTTAAAATTCCTTTACAACCGTCACGTACGCTTTTAAGTTCTTAAAAGCAGCGTCCCAAAAGATGGTTCCGGGAATTTGCGGCGATGTTAAATTAGACCCCCTATCTAAGCGGTGACGAAGTTCGGAGCGAAAAAGAGGGTCTGGTAAGCTTGGAAATTGCTCCCAAAGTGGCCGTCTTATGGCAGTCCCGAATGCCGCCCGTACAGCGAATTCGAACTGCAAGGCCAGAGAACGCATAGCGCACACAGTCATAGTGCAGGGTCCCGCAACGACTCTGCGCCTCTACCTGCATCTCGTACTCACGAGCCTACCGTAAGATTCGGGCCACTTTCGGGGCAAATTTTAGGCCTGGTAGCCCCCTTTTTAGTTTCGAACATCAGTCATCGCTTAGGTGGGGGGACTACTTAAACATCGCCACAATCCGGCACCCATCTTCTTGCCGGGCTGCAACCGTTTTTTCGTTGTAAATTGAAACATAAAAAAAATGTCTATACCTGAAAAAATTTAGTCTGAGATGTTTCGGTCTCTCACAGATAGTCTCAATGACATAATTTATTCGCATAGTATTCGAAAATCGAATGATATTCGAAAATCGAATGTTATTCGAGAACCGAATAATATTCGAAATTCGAATATCGAATGGTATTCGATATTCGAATATTATTCGATTCGAAAACTTCCATTTTCGAATAATAATCGATAGTCGAATATTCGAAGTTTTCAATTTTCGAATATTATTCGATAGTCGAATATTCGAAAATTTCGATTTTCGAATATTATTCGATATTCGAATAATATTCGAAAATCGAAAAAAAATTTCGAATTTCCCAAAGTATACTCGCTAGTTACCAAATATCTGCTGCTGCCCACGTATAATTAGCCATGCGCCCCTTGCTACCAACAGTATAATGCCAACCAGCTAAGCAGCATGGATGTCCCAAAAAAATGTGCAAACTGTTTGATCGTTAATAACTCTCTTGCTTTCATATCTTCCGCCGAGCTCGAGGAACCATTTTGTAGAACTAGGTTCAACTTAGATTTGCAGTATGGAGCGAATTGCCAATCGCTCTTTATTACTGTAGGATCACGGTAGGAACTATGAGAAAGACTCAAAGCCATTGAAAGCGATATTTTGCTTCAGAAAGACAATCAAACAAACCAGAAACTTTTGTAGTGAGCTAGTCGAAGTCATTAACCTAAATATGAAATTTGCACTTCACTGTGAGCTTCTTTCATAAGCTATTTCAAGTTTAGGGTAACGACTGTTTTCCAATGTTCGTCATGAATGTGATTATACCATTGAAAAAGCTCGAAGAACTGGTAAAAAGTTGTGCAGTGAAATCAGCACTGAAAACTTTGCTACACAAGTTTTTAAATTTAAAAAATATTTTTCATCGA